TGGGCGGTGGCACTAATACTGCACTGGGGATGGGGCAGCTGAGTTACTCTACTCCCAAGAAATAACTTCCTGCCTGTTTATTACAAACCACCCCTTCCCACCCAAACCTGGCTCCAAAAAGCTTGTCTGAGGGGCTTGTTTTCTCATCCACCCATGCTCCAAGCACGATCTTGCCCCCATCCTTCTCCACAAAGCTCCTTGCAGGATCCTCCTGAGAGCCAACCACCTGTCACAAAATCCTTCCTTATTCTCTGACTCTAACCTAAATCCCTCCGGCTGCAGTCCAAGCCCATTTCCTTTGATTCATTTTCCGGCTGGAGACAGACAACAGCTGGCCTCCATCCTCTCTGGAATAAATTGTACAAAAATTACCGGCAAACCAGCACAGGCATGTTGGGATGGATGGTACTCATTTTGGGGTGGGGGAGCTTTCTGCCTCAATGGCTTCCAAATCCCAGACTCAAACCCCACTGGAAGACTGAGTCACAATTAGAGAGACAAGAGCCAAGACCACAACCTCAAAACCACTGGGCAAGATGCAAAGGGCATTTTGTCCTAAAATTCAGAGTCCCCATACCCCAGACTCCCTGACTCAGATCTCAGACCACACCAGTTACACCAGGGGCTCTGGCTGCTAAGGTTCCTATTTGGAGATCACAGGGATGCTATACAAAGAGGATCGCAAGTAGTGTGTGGGAAAGGTGGGGAACCTCATGTATATGGCTGGTGCCCCTCCCCCTGGACTAGTCGCCACCCTTGCCATCGCTACCCAGATATGTCAGAAAGCAGAGGGGCCAGCCAGACACAGCTGTCTCTGCCTTTTCTACCTTGCATGGACAGTCCCCCACCCATCTTCCGTCCCCTGCCTACTGGGCCATGGGACGTGACCAGGTTAAGAAACAGAGAGCTGTTTTGTACTGAAGGTATGGAAAATCACAGCCAGGCTCTCCTAGTGCAAAGAGGATGGGCTGAGGTGAGGGGTGGAGTGGGGGTTGGAAAAACTTCCCCCTCCTTTAACCTGCCAGGCAACAGGAAATGGAAACTCTCCTGCCAGTGCAGGAGAATCTTGACTTGAGACACAGTCTCATTGTGAAACTCAAGAGGCAGAGGACCATGCCTTAGACACACACAT